ATTACACTTAGTGTAAAGCAAAAGTAGCTCTTTTATTATGACACTGTTATTGATCAAAGGCCCAACTTAAAAGATGTCTTTCATCATAAAAGATAATTATTCATTCCCATGTTTTTCACTCCACACACCCACCATACCATAAATTCCAGCATCTTAGAGTTTTGACACATGTCCTTGTATGTTCTAGGTTTCAAAGTCTGGCTGTTACAGGAAAGACTCATGGCATTCAGGATTATACAACCTGTAAATAGAAAGAAGCTTAGAATTTTGCCTTAACTTGATAGCAGCCATGACAAAAATCAAACCAGATGAAACAGCTACCATTTGTGTAGTATACATATCCTCGGGACCACTCCTTAGTGTTTATGACAGTACAGACACTGCAATAAATGACCTTTTGATTAACTAGAAGTGTGATAAATTTTACCTGCACTTGAGTAGTTGAAATGACATTTGAAATCTCTAAAAGCTTTCCTGCAGAGCGAATAAGCATTTAATTGAGCCATTTAAGATGCATGCTACTGACAATTTGCTGTCATTTCAACCTCAACAAAAAAAAAAATTGTTTGTGAGGCAAACAATGGTTAATTCACTTACTAAATAAACTGGATGGCATGGGCAAACTCGTAGGATTTTTCTTTGTTTGTTTGCCCGTGCTTTTTCCTTTAAGCAGTAAAGAATAGAGAGTGGAGGCACGCAGTGTAGCTCATTATCACACCATCTAATTCCAGGTCAACCTTAAAAAATTAGTGGTGCCCAACACAAACACCCTTGTAGCTTCTACTGTGTCTTTGGTACCCTCTGCTACATTCTCCTGCTGCCTGAATGACTTCTTAGCTCCTATTGATTGGCTCCCTCAGCTCTTATCTCGGTGCTGCACTGACATTTGCCACGTGCTTTACAAGCACAAGAAGTCAAGAATGCACTTGGATAATCCATAGATGGGATTTTATTGCGGGCTGCCTTGTCAGAAGATGTGCTCATTCGCTAAGGAAGAAAACAACTGTTTGCCAATGGCAACAGCATCACCTGCTGTCAGATGAGAAATCAACATTCCTTTTTCCTGAGGAGTAAGGCTAATCCTTACTTAATTTTTCAGGGTAGCTGAGCTAAATATGGAGATCAGGACTGAGGAATCAGACCATATAATTCATGCTTATACTGCTATATTTTACAAATTTTTACTACGTTCACATTATAATTTGTATGTTAGCATTTCTAATGTCACTTTGACACAGAAAAAGTAGAAAATTTTGATGTTTGGGGATGTAGATTTTTCCCAAAACGCATAAGAAGGATCAGTCCATACTATGAAAAGCTTTTGAGAGATTTATTAGAAGCAATCCGTCCCTGGGTTTGTAAATCACCATTAAAAATAATTTCCTAAAGAAAAACAGATCCACAAATTAGCATACAAGATACTTTAACTCTTAGTTTAGAATAACATCTAGGAACATAACACTTTAGATTTAATCATTATGCATAAAAATGATAGAATAAATTAATAACATACAAAAACTGAAGTATGTACACAATATTTTAAAATTTTAGGAATATTTCTTCTTCCATCAAAATTTGACTATAAAACAGCTTTCTAAGCTATTAATAACTTTCTACGAGATCAGGTTGATTTTACAGCTCCTGTTGACTTGCTTAAAACCAGATACCTACAGCTTCTGAGGATATCCAAAAATGAATGTTTCCTTACAACATTTCTATATTGTAAGGAACCAAAGTAATGACTGGTATTTACAGCTCTGAACCACCAGAATGACAGCTTTGAGTCTTCATTTCTTCCTTTCTCCAATTCTTCTCTTCTAAATTCAGATGGCTCTGAGCTATCTTCGTGTTTCTACATCTAACAGTGTTTTCTGTGATTTAATTCCCATATATGTTTATATACACATAATGTCACACACTCACTGGGTGATGTCATGAGGAAAATAATATGAAGCTATTTTGATAAACACCTTAGTGTTGCTAAAACTTGGAAAGACAGGATAATGAATAGAAGAAGTTTAGTTATTGTAAAAAGGTAGAAATATAAGGAGAAAAAAACATTTGACAATGTGTGCCAAATGAAATTTAAACTTGAAAAAAAATAATAATTTCTATTGAAGAGCAGAATCTTTTTTATTAAGTTCTGCAGCAAATGACCAGAGATAATTAAGTCTAGAATTAGTACTGGCTTCTTTTGAATCATATTGCTACCCTGTTGAGATTTCATTTTTATGGATTAGCCACAAATTACTAATAGAGATATGTTTCTGTTGCTTCAATTTGATGTAAAAGAAGTTATTCACAACCCTAAATACTTGAAAAAAAGATTTTCTATCATATGGTTAAACTAATCTTCTTCAGGAATGATAAAAAGAATTGCTTATCATACAATAAATTTTTAGTGTAAACACTTAAAACAGGTTTCAGAAAATGACTTTACAGATTTTTCTCCACTAGAGGTCTCTAGAGAAACACAATAAACTGTTCAGAATAGCAGATATCTTAGACCTTTTTTCTTGGAATAAGTTGCATGTCATGGAAGATGAAAATCCACACCGGTTCCATTCTTATTCCAGGTATTTCTTTGGATATACTCTTTCTGTTTTGGATAATAAAGATTCCTATTACTACAATAATAATTCAAATCCATGAGGTGTTTTAAGCTATTTTATAATTTGATATTTAATATTTCTAATTAGAAATTCAACATAAATTCACTTAGGAAATATAATAGCACAAAGCATTTAGCTGAAGGAAGGAAAAAAACTAAGGTGGCAGCTGGACGGAGTAGTCACCCTGCTAAATAAACAACAAATTAAAATAAATAAAGTACCAATAGGCACAAGGGAACAAAGCATTGGCTAACAAAAGCAGTACTTTAGTTGGCAAATTATGAAATAGTACTCTGGTGTGCAGCTCAGCATGCCATTGTACCACAAGCAAAATAGAACTTGGCTCCAATATTGTTTTTTATGTCTAGTTTAACATAAACATAAATGAAGAATAAGATTCATGTAATGGGACTCTTTTTTCTTCTTTATGCTTTTTGCTTTGTTTTGTTATTACTAAAAGTTTTTAAATTGAAATTGTGCCGTTTTTCTTGGGTTGATATTTTCAAGGAAGTAATCTCCACTAAAAGATAATCTTTATTCCTTTAGTATCTATGCATTCATACAGCACTCACCAGAATAACTTATTCAGGAATTTAGATATTTTTTCAGAAAATGAAGCCTATGTTCATTATTTTATTTCATTATGCTACTTTATTTCAGGGAACTTTACCTCTCTATTTACTATTTTTTGCTTATGCTTGCCTCATTAAATATAGCATAATGATGGGACCAGGCTTGTTGGTAAGTGTTGAATTATAGCCTACTGTACTCAATGCAGAGAACAAAAGGGATTCTCTGAGATTTGAGGTAGGGGCACTAATCACAAAACTGGAAAATTATGGAAAGGAAAATGTTTGCCTTGCTCAGACGGCTCCATTATTAACTGTGGTGGATAGCTATGCAAACAAGAGCTCAGTGCATACAGCAGCATCAATTGCTACTTATTTTTCGGTGCTACGTGGTAAGTGTGGAAGAGAAGAACCTGAGCTATGCTGAGATTTCAGAGATGAGGGAGACACTCCTGAGAAGACAGGTTACTGGGACAGTTCTGGAAGTTTCTGAAGTTTTTCAAGTTAATTTTACAGCATATCTTCTGATCTTTTCACCTTTAAATTGAGAACTGCAAAGGCAAACTAAGGCCAATTAGCGCTTGAAATTCCACAGTTAGGCACTTAACAGGTGATATTTCTCAGAGTATTTCTTGCTGCAAAGACCAGAAAGAAATACACAGCTCTGAGAGGAATAAAAGCACAGCACTGATATTCTCCTAAATCTTGTAATATGAAATCACAGAGTTGATCCATCACCTCCATCAGTGGATCTGTCAATAAGGTTTCAGACATGGAGTTCATACATCAAGAGGTGCTGACACTTTCATGAGCTATCTTGAGTTTTTTGCAAGTTGGGTATGTAGAGATCATGATAGAACAGAAGCCCACATGCCATTTAATCAAATGTCTCTGGTTTTAATCTTAGAAACCATGAAGCATTATGCAAACACTTCTATATAAATGGCAGCATCTTTTCGTTGACATGAAAATTTCAAACTCCTGGATTGCAGTCCAAATACCAGCTGCCCCTGGAGCCTTAAGACTATCCCTTCACAGGAGGCTTGAGCCTGTCACTTCTGCCTCAGTTTCCTCAGTAACAGATCAGAATTACATTTTCCATTTATTGTACAAGAGGCTTTGAAGGACTGATTAATAAGTACAGAAAGGTACACAATCAAATTTTCAGATACTCTGTGATTTTGATATATATAACTATATATTATATAAAGCTCTGAATGAAAGCATTATGTAACAATACTTGTTATGATTAGAATCAAAATTAATATTCAAACTAAAACTGCGTTTGATTGAGAGACTACTTCATAATCAGAATGTGTGTTAATACAGCTTTTTCTTCTCAAGACAAAAACGCCATTTCAGGTTATTGGCAACTGTATTTGAAACTTTCATCAACTTCACTAGCTAAACAGCTAAATAGCTGATAACTGTGAGGACATGGAAAACAAAGGAAAGCAATGCAGTTCTTATGGGAACAGACAACATCTTCCTCTGGGTTTGAATAAAACCACACGCAATGATCATGACCTCTGGATGCCTCAGTGCTATAAATACTAAACCATAAGTCAAAGTCTAAACTTCCCGAACTCTCTCTGTTGTTGTGTCAGCAGAATAAAATGTTAAGCCTTCTGTAATAAGGAAGAAATTAATCAATTGAGGATTAAAATAAATTATTTATATGGTTAATGTATGGTACTGATTTAGGTTTCTGAAGCTGAGAGCAAAAGCTGCTGTTCTAAGGGGGGTGGTACAAAGTTTCAGGTTGATCCTGTGGTTCCCTCCCACCACCTTCTAACATGTATATAAATTGTCAGCTCTCCAGACCCTTTGCCAGTTCTCTCTTCCAGACTTGCCAGAAGCAACAGAGGACTAAAGATGAAGATCTTTTTCGACTTTTTTGTTGTCTGCATTTGAACCAGCAGCTGCTTTTGCTCACTATGACAAGATTTTAACTCACAGTCGAATAAGGGCACGCGACCAGGGGTAAGTGACTGGCTTTTATTTCTAATTTAAAAGGAAGCTGTTAATCTTTAGTCTCCCCTTTCTTCTGGCATTATATTACATGTAATTTATCTCTATGAATTTTTACTGTCATTCAAGTAGAATTTTCTTTTAAAATTCATTTTACAAGAATTGTGCCTGAATAAAAAGCTTTTCACAGAGTTTTAAAAGGAGATAGAATATTGTTAAACTTCATAAAATGGAAAGAAATCTAAAATCACCACTTCTCAATGGATAAAATGTGATTCAGAATCACCAAAATTAATTTCAGTTCATAAGTATTGTAATAGGATATCAGAAATGTTTAAGATATGCTTTCAAACTTTTGCAGAGCTGATAACTGTCTACAGTATTTGCTCTCTTTATTCGATCCTGATGAAAATCACAAACTCTATTTAAATGTTTTCTTATATGGGAATATATCCTGGGAATCCTTTGTGACACTTCTGTTCCCACTAGAACAGTGCAGCAAGCTGCTCAGCAGGGCTTCCAAAAGGCAATGCTTACAAGCCAGGCTGCTTGGAGACATGGAAATAATTTGAACAGCTGGTGTCAGGGAAACACATGTGCCTAAAGATATTTTCCTCTAGTCTTCTTAAGCAAAAACATTCTGTGAATAAGAATTGTTTAACATCCTATCTTCCCACAGCCTGCTACACATACACTTTTCAAATTTTTTTAGCTTTTCAAAAAAAAGCTCACTGGCTTCCCAGTGATGTAAAGTATATATTCTAACTTCTGAACTGGTGAATTTTTTTAATTGCAGAAGTATAAACATTTCGAATAAAATTTACTTGCTCCATGGAATTTGACCATAAGAAATTAATATTTGTACACCACCAAGCTAAGGAACATGTATTCCTCCTCTGAAGTCTGTGACTTCCTTTTATTTACATGCCAATTTACCCTTTGGTCCCCCGTAATTCCCAGAATGTTTATTTAGGTGCCTGCGGTATTCAGAATGGTTGGCAATCAAAATAGCTGATTGATTTACAGAAGACAAGGCTTCCTTCTACATAAAGAACAAGGCACTTTTCTCCCCCAACTCCCCACGACCTTCAGCTGCACAGATGTGTAAAAGACAAAAAACTTTAATGAAAAGAGCCTCATGGTATTCACTGGTCCCTGGTGGCTGGTGATTCACCTCACGGGGGGAAGGGAGAAATGGATATTGAGACTTGCCTAGGCACAGCTGGTGATCGCTGCCCATCAGAAACACAGGGTCAAACCAGAACGAAGAGGAAGCCTCTGTCGCTGCAGGGAGGGTGGAGTTTCTAAGGAATCCAGCTGGGCAGTCCCAAGAGCTTGCACTGTGGCTACTTCAAAACACACCTGTCCTGGAAACTGGAGCCAGATGTTAATTTCTTACTCAACAGGGAGAGTATTTGCTACTATTTCATGTTGAATTTTTCATGTACAAAACCTTTTTTTTAAAATGTTTCTCACTGCACCCATAGCCCAAATGTCTGTGCTCTTCAGCAAGTTATGGGAACAAAAAAGAAATACTTCAGCACTTGCAGAAACTGGTACCAGCAAGCCATCTGTGGAAAGAAAGCGTAAGTATGCTCCGCTTCCAAACTATTCTCCATTGACTGAGATAATAAAAATTTTTAATTAGAAAACTCTTTTTCTCCCAGACAAACTAACTGTTTACTGTTGATATTAGAATCTTTACTTCTCCTCCTCCAGGTGGCATTGCAATACTGACTCCCCCTTTCCTTCTCTGGGCACACTGCAAGCCATCCAAAATACTTCACCTTTTCAGTAAAGTCTGCCATACTACTGATAACTTTGGCACTAAAATTTTATTCTACTGCAGACACATTGGGATGAAGGGTATTTCCTGAAAATGCTTAGAGTGGAACTTGAATATTCTCACAGGCAGCTTTGGAAAACAACCTACTTCTGTGGTTTTATTCCTAGATAGATGTCATGTCTTCCCACGAAAGAAAGTCTGCTCTCGGAATGAATCTGAGGGAACACATTGCTTTGCCAAGCTCCAGAAACAAAATGTGTTAAGCAGTGATAGATAACTTCATGCATTAGGAAAAATAGTTTGAAGCAATAGGCAGTATAGGTTCATAAAACTGAAGTCACGTGGAGATTTTGTTCTCCTCATGGCTGGAATTTAGAGGATTGTTAGTTGTAAAACATCTCACAAATCCTGTGCAAGGTCCCAAGAAGTTTCATAGAGCCAACCAGAGGAAGACAGTGAGCTGTGGGGCTGGGTGGATTTGGTCATGACAGTCTACACAAAATTATCACCTGCCCTTCCCCTTCCATTTCAACCCCCCGACCATTGTACATGTACTCACAGAGCAAGGCTAGATGAGGAAGGTTAGATGAGGAAAAGGATGTGTGTGAGAATAAGCTGAGTCGTAGAACTCCTGAGGGTTGTCTAATGGGTTTTTGTGGTTATAATAAAGCATCTGTTATAACTTAGTCTTAATCATTATTGAGTTTTACACTCTGCACATTAAAACCAGAATAAAAAGACTAAAGAGGTTACTCCAATAAGAATGCTAATCCGAAGGACAACAGCTCTTGTCATGTCAATATCTCCACTTTAACAAGTCCTCCCTAACTTATATCTATAAAATGTTGAAAGTTCTTATTATGTGCAGTTCCCATTTACAATGGCAGTGTAACATACAAATTTCCTAAAATCAGCATTTGTTGGACCAAAATTCTTTCCACTGTTTCTCAGCACTATTTTATCTCCATGCCAGCAAGAAGTAGAAACAGATGAGTCACAGAGTTGATTTGAATAAACTGAAAACTGACTCTATTAGCCAAGAATAACAAGGATTAAGGTAGTGCTGTTCTGACTTTTTCCTTTGAATATACTCCTTTGGATGAAGTCAGGACAATGTTGTATTAAAAAAAAAAAGAAAAAAGACAATAACAGCAACAAAACCAACCAAACAAACAAAAAGAAACCCAACCCAAGACAAACACAGAAACAAACTTCACCAAAACCTCAAGAATGCTGCATTGGTTCCTTATCTGAATAATTGCTTTCTTTCTTCTTTTGGCCAAAGGCTTATACTGAGCTGTAGGGATGCCATGAGGATAATTTCTGGTCTGGTCTGAGGTGGCACTTCCTCTGTGTGCTGTGCCTACACACAGATGGTACTGAGGAACTGCATCTTGCACCGAGTTCTATCTGGTTCTTACCTTAACATGGGATAATGCTCCATGCACACCTCTTTTCTCCCATCTCATCCTTCTGACATTTTGGGCACAGCTAAAGAACGTTTCAACTGCAGAAAACTGTAAGGGAACATGAATAATGTAAGCAGAAACTTGATAACTGAAAAGAAGCCTGGGCTGTGCATAACAAGATACATGGTAAAAAAGGCACTGATCTTGTAATGCTTGGCTAAAGAAGCATTTTCATCTTAACTATGTTCTTCAGCCAATTTTCTGTCTTTCATTAATTTTATCATTGTTGGATATGGTATGAGGATTAGACTTGCCATATCTTACTCTATGCTTATAACTCAGCTGCCTCTTTCCTTTTTCCAAAAGCTAATTAAACTGCAATATTTCATAGCTTCCCATGGGATGGGGGGGAAAGATTTTCTATTCCAGGGAAGGGAAAAATATTTTCTCATGACAAAGCAGTTCACACAGTTGGGAGAACATTTTGACTCCTATTCTGCTACACATTTTTTTAATCAGACAATCACATTATTATGTTTTTATTATTAGCTTCTGGCAAGGATGCAAGAAAGATTAAGAGTAAAAGGTTATCTGTAGCCTAAGTTGTATGTTATCCATGCATTCCCAAGAGATAGCCTTCAGTGAATTGCTTTAAAGAGAGAGGTGTACTAAAAGAACTATACAAATACTTTCAATATATGGTTTCTCAGTTGAAAATATAAACATGGCAGAAGGATGAATATGTAATGTATGAATATGCATATGAGGGAATGGACAAAAGTATTTTCATAGCATGGAGAAATAAAAGAGTGTGTTTAAAAAAGAAATCAACTTCACCACCTCCATCAAATTGCTCTCTTTTATGGAATTATAATCCTCACTTTTACAATCATGCTGCTTTTACAATCATGCTATTATTTTTCTTCCAGTCTACTTTATCTTGAAATCCCTTGAAGTTGTTTGGATGTTGAAGATATTAAGTCCAACTTTTCATTTGAATAAGATATTCATTTTAATGTGGTTGTGGTTAACTTTTTGTCAGCTTTAAATTATGAAACATGAGAGAAATGTACTCAGCTGCCACCAAAGATTCTGCAAATTAAAAGCTGGACTGTAGTGGTTAAAGACTCAGTAAAAACCTTCAAGGAATTGATGTTCAGAACTTTTGAACTGCCAACATCAGCTACATCTATAAAAATAAATCTATTATGTAAAACAGTGATGTCATTATGATGTAACATATACTGTACAGTCTACAATAATTTGAAAAATAATACATGAAGTTTAATGTACTAAATTTCTTCCAAGGAACCAAAATTGCCTCTGTGATAACTTTAGTGAATTTACATTTTCCCGTAAAAGAGGAGAATTTTTTAAACAGGTCAATGGTAGAACTGTTATTTCTGTCTATTAATTAAGAAGACATTATATCTTATAAGAATCACAATATTAAAATGAACATTCACCCCTGTTATGTGTAGCTTAAGTGTATTTGAGAACGATAGTATTTTATTGACATAGTTATATAACATTTCCTGGCCCATGGCAAGGCTAAAGTCTCTGTATGCTGTGAACACAAGTTTTTTAAACGCTGGTTTTGATTTCTTTTATTCTGGTTTTCATCTTCACATTTACCTGTGGACTTTCCCTTGTGTCCATCCATCCAGTTTTTCCAGTGACTTCCTTCTCTATAACCAATTTTATGTCTGTTCCTAATTAGTTCTCTCCTTCATTCCTGAGCTTCTTCAAATTCTTCCTTGGAAAACAGAGGCTCTCTTATTCCTCTTGTAATCAGCATACAATACACAGGACCTTCTCTGAAATACTGGTTAATTCCTATAACCATTATGTAGGTGATCTCATGTAGCTCTGCCACTTTAATTTCTATTCTATTCATTTAAATTTGTCTTTTTCCTTTGCAACCCTTCCGCCAGGATTTCATTTTAATAGCCTCACCTTTTTTTTCTCTTTGTTCAATGTCATATCTGTTCAACATACAATAGATAAATTAATGCTCTTCAGCTGCTGTTCTAGTTACATCATCTTTTAGTAACTCCATATGAGTACCATAAGTCCGCCCATGTTCCCTCTCAGAGCTTAAATTTAATGATGGTAGTCATTCTTTAAATTCAAAAGCTTTACATTTAGTAAAATATGACCAATTTGTAATCAATTTTTAAAAAGCTGAATGACAAACAAAAGGCTGAATAGCTGGAAATGTGCTACCAATGAAAAATTTATAATAAAAATTAAATTATACTTAGTTAAAATTATTTTATTTCCCCTGTATAATATTTAATTGTGCTTTTGTCTATATCCCACAGAACTGTCTTATATGAGTGCTGTCCTGGCTATATGAAGATGGATGGTACAAGAGGATGTCCTGCAGGTATGAACTTATTTTCTTATGGATTAGTTGGCATATGGAAAAACAGCAGAGTTTCAAAGGTGGTCATCATGAGAAATTATTGCCTCTTTTTAAGAAGTACTGCCTAAGAATGCACAGCTTCATTTGCACACAGCAAACATAGCTAAAAGTCAGCTAGCACTGAATTAGATCATAGACTTTAGGTTGAATTTCTCAGCCCCTTCCAGATTCTGGATTGGTGAGAATTGACAGTGTTAATAGATTGATAGAAGAGTAGTATGAGAAGGAATGCATTTCATAATTTTTGATCCCTATATCTGAAATTATCCTTTTATGTTCAATAATGCAGAGTTCAGTTTGTTTACATAAATTAATCTCCCTTCAGATGCTGACATAAGGATGAGATCAGTCACACACTAGAATCTCCTGTTCTTCTCCATAACCATAAAAAGAGCCAAGAACCATTAGATTGCATGCAAATGTCTCACTTCTAGATGCCTAAAATTAGGAGAGATGAATGCTATCATGTAGCCATGTTTTAACTGTGAGACTATAGCCATTCTTACTGTCTGGATGATCAGTACATGCATAAACCAGACACTTGAAGAGGAGCAAGAGGCCTCACAAAAAGAATTCTGGTCCATTGTGACTGAATGAGACCCACTCCACTGAAATTTTTGTGATTGTAAATGGATAGCCTCCCATTTCATGCTGGGTTGATAAAGAATACAACAACTCTTCTAAAGAAAACTTTACAATATTCAGTATTGTTTGAACTAATTTTTCATTAAGAAAAACACCAAAAGCAATGGCAAGCAGATGTGCTTAAACGACTTTTGAGTATGCTGACAATGAAATTTTTAATCTAAACAAGTTGTTTAATACTGAATTAAACCGTTTCAGAACTATTGTGCATCCAAAAGACACAATGAAAAATTGATTGTGATAAAGTGGGGGACTGAAGAGTTTACAATATTCTTACCTCATGTTTATTTTAGTTGCTCCTATTGATCATGTATATGGCACTCTTGGTATTGTGGGCGCTACCTCCACACAGCAGTACTCTGACATTTCAAGGCTGAGAGAAGAGATTGAGGGACGAGGATCATTCACTTTCTTTGCACCAAGCAATGAAGCCTGGGACCAATTAGATTCAGTAAGTGTGTGTGTATGTGTGTCCATGTGTCTGTCTGTGTGCATGTGCGTGGGTTGAACATTTTAGCTGAAGAAGCTAGTGTGGGATAAATTAGATTGGAAACAATGTCGAGATTTTAGACTTAGAAGGGCATAATAAAAGTAATAATGAAATAATCTGAATGTTTAACATACATTTCTGAAGCTAGAGAGGCTGAGTTTACTTTCAGGAGTACTAAGCAATTGTAATTGCTTCTTATTTAAGCACTTGCTTGACACATACTAGTATTGTTAATTGTATTAACATAGTTTTGGGGAATATCCTATGAATTCCAGCAGCTGCATGATATATGGCTGTATGTTGTCAGTAATTCAGGTGTCCTTCTTTTAGTACTGATCTTAGTTAAATAAACATTGAATTAAACCTTCTCCAATGACTTGTCTGTGATGAAGCCTTGTCTTCCATTTGTGAGCAAACCAGACTTAAAGGTCATTTAAGTAAAATCAGATTTATAGGCTAACAGATGCTGAATATGTTGAAAGCGTATACTAAGGTAAAACAACACGTACATCTTTCTGAGTGGAAGAATGCTTTGAAGCTTCTAATTAATTAAATTCCCTTTTTTTTTATTCAGGAGGTTCACAGGAATTTGGTTGACAATGTAAACATTGAACTGTATAATGCTCTCCACCACCATATGTTAAACAAGCGCATGTTGACAAAAGATCTTAAGAATGGCATGACCCTAGTGTCTATGTATAATGGCCAGAAATTGCTTATTAACCATTATCCTAATGGGGTAAGTCTATTCTCTTTTTTTCCCTTAATATATTCATTTAATTGCAGCCTTTGTTTCCTTTATTACCTTATATAACTAAGAAAATATATTATCAAAAGTTTGCCATCTACCAAGTCAGTTGCCACTGACAAAAATAAATATTCTCTTGAAGAACTTTTGACTGCTGTGTAGACTAATCACTAAGAATGAATGAGCAAACATCGCGCTGTTAAAAAATCAAAGTTCAAATGAAAACGAATTTTCTTCATAAAAGACAAAGCCTTTTGTGGCCAAAATACATGATCATAATAAATTTGACAGAAAAATCTACTATTAGTTTTCATAGTTTTGCTAAATAATATTAAAGCAGATCTTTTATTCTAATTTGAGTGCATGGTAGAAACATTGAAGGTTGTAGGAAACACACATCCCTTACTTGGCTAGAAAAAAAATAATTTTTATAAATGCTAGAAACTTCCCAGTTAAGTCAGTCATCTTTGATGTCTTAAATGCATCAAAATATTTGTTTGTCCACGGGTTGCATCGCTAAAAAGCAATATAATCACCATATTAGCCAGATAAGCAAAACCAAATTAGAATAATTGCAGTAAGAAATTAAACATGAATATGAAATCAATGTAACCTGAATAAATATGCTGCTATCTTTTCAGAAGCTTAGTCAAACTTTCAAATCTTACAAGGCTTTACTTCAAAATTTGAAAAATACAACTGAAATAAGAACTGTGAATACACATTGCCAGCCTGTGAGAGTCAGGTTCCAAGCTTGTGCTCAAATCAATGTTTAATCTTCTACTACTTGATTCTTCAAATATAGGTTGTTACTGTTAACTGTGCCAGGATCATCCATGGTAACCAGATTGCTACCAATGGTGTTGTCCACGTTGTTGATCGTGTCCTGACTGCTGTTGAATATACCATTAAAGATTTCATTGAAGCCGAGGAGGATCTTTCATCATTTAGAGTAAGTGGACAAAAATAAAAACTCTTTTCTGTTTATTTTAGGCGGGTTTGCTTATTCCTTTTTAATTTCTTTATGATATCTGGAGGTAAAAATGGTTAGCTCAGTAAAAGAGAGAAATAAATCAAATGAAGAGCTCCAGCTAATATTGCAAATCTAGCTATATAAAAAAGCAACATCAATAGCACAGAATGTGTCCCTGTACATAAAAAGTGTCTTCTCTTAAAGCACTGAGAAAATGAAATGTGAGTATGAACTTACAGTGTCTGGTGCTAGATAAATAAGAACAATTTCAAAATGGATGATTAAAAATGGTAAAGATGCCAAATATATTTCAGAACCTCCTAGTAAGTTTCAGAGCACCAGTAGATGCACATAAGAAGGACTTTTCTTGCACAGAGGAAGTATGATTAGAAATTGTCCAAGTTCCTAATTTTTCCATCTTCTGGAAAATGTGTCTGCACAGTGTAATGAGATTTCATGTTGCACATTTTAAAAATGTGTCATTAGTTTGCAAATAACTGTTGTCCTTTTCTATCTTCTAGCTCCTTAATAAATGCAAAAAGGTATTTAAAATGCAGAGGCATAAACATGGAGAGGATCCTCTGAATTCCTCAAATCCAGTTCATGACCAAGTTACAAGAAACCACATTTAATGTCTTTTAAAAAAACTTATAAAAATCAATACTTTCTAGTTTTCAGTTAAAAAAATTCCTCTGTCAATTACTTTTTTCATCTTTCTATAACATTCACGATCTATCTTTTTAAGGCACTATGATCTCAGTCTAGCATTCAAGTATCTGTGGGCATGAAGTGAAACTAGACAGTTAATGTATTTTGGTAATATTTTAAATAATCAGCATTAAAAAGAAAAAATTATATTTTAGGATTCTGCCATTACATCAGGTGTCATGGATATTCTTGGAAGACCTGGTCATTACACACTCTTTGTTCCTACAAATGAAGCTTTTGAGAGACTTCCAAGGGGAGTTTTTGAAAGAATCAAGGGTGACAAGGTGGCTTCTGAAGGTATTTAAACTTTTTTGCAAATGAGAATTATGTATGAGTGGATCAGGAGGCAGAAAATATATTATCCTTATAGCTCTGGAATTAAGCACCTCTACTTTCATGTGTGTAGGAGGAGTTATTTTTCTGTCTCTAGTACTTGCCTCAGGATGGAAAGTCATTGAAAACTTAGTCTTCAAAACAGTTTTAAGGGAACTGTGAATATACGGGCACATTGAGTTTCTGATAGTTCAGCTGCATAGGTCTGACAGACATTCCTGTCCCTAGAAATTCTGGGCTATCTGAATGTGAAATTCTCTCATATCTTCGCATAGCCTATAAAATTTTGTACTCATAGGTCCTTTTGGAGGCTATCATATGCAGTTCCAGCAGATTGTAGCATAACCAATTCAGTTTTAATAATATAAGGGATGCCAAATAGTTTTGACTGTAAATTATTTAGAAGCCTACAGTATCATTAAATTTAAATAAAGTACCCGTGAGTGAAATTAATTAAATATAGTGTGGCTGGAATAATTTATTCCACACTATATGTAAATATATGTATATGAATATGTGTCCAAACACCTACATCAATTAAACTCCTGCTCTTTTCTCTGCAGCTCTTGTGAAGTTTCATATATTAAATACTCTCCAGTGCTCTGAAGCCATCACAGGTGGAGCTGTCTATGAAACCTTGGAAGGAAACACTGTTGAAATCGGTTGTGATGGTGAAAGTCTGACTGTGAATGGAGTGAAAATGGTGAAACGCAAAGATATTGTGACAAGCAATGGTGTTATCCACCTCATTGATCAAGTGCTAATTCCTGATTCTGGTCAGTAATGTGTTTGAAAAACTTGTTTCACTGAAGATATTTTCAATAACCTTACCCAAATTTCCTCAGATATATAGTTCTGGATAAGCATGGAGAATCCAAATGAGGAATAAGAAGATAATGTGTGTTAAAATACCTTTTCTTAATTCTTTATTTGCAGCCAAACAAGTCATTGAGCTTGGAGGTGCTCAGCAGACTACATTTACAGACCTGGTGGCACAGCTAGGTCTGGCATCTTCTCTAAGGCCAGAAGGCCAATACACTCTCCTGGCACCTCTGAATGGTGCTTTCTCAGGTTAGTAGCCCTAAAAGATTGCCAAAATAAACAAGAATGTATGCTACTCTGACAGTTTTCCAAATAACCCCCAGTACTTGTTCTCAGTCTCACTGCAAGAGCATCATAGACAGAATGATTTCATCCTTTCAAATTACATACCTTGCAGAAAGACAAAACAAGCCTAACCACCAGACTACACAACTTGTTTTCAGTCATGTAATTTGCTAATGGAAATAGTAGCACTAAAACAAGATACAAAATATGCACAGAAAGACTGTAGGAATGGAAAGATATTAATGAACTGCAAGTTTCCTTAATCTTTATGTTACTTTCATTAGATTAACTTTTTTGTTCTCAGAAAATGTATGCAGTGGTTTAATTCCAGCTAAATACCACATATCCAATTAATCACTCCCTTCTTTCCCCCAATCTGGGATGGGGAGGAGAATCAGGAAAAAAAAATACCTAAAAAAACCTCATAAGTTTAAATATATACAGTTTGATAAGTATAACAAAGTAAAATAATAATATTAATAATACTAATATTACTCATAGAAATAGCAATAATAGTAATAATCGTGATGATGATGATGATGATGATGATAATAATAGTAATGGATAATTAAAATCTAAGAGAAACAAGAGATGTATGATACAATTACCCACTACCAACTGACTTATGACCAGCCAGTGACTGGCACCTCCCAGCCAGCTCACCCAGTTTATATACTGGGCATGAGATTCTATGGTATGGAATGAGTTTGGGTCACCTGTCCTGGCCATGATTCCTCCAGCCTCTCATGCACCTGCTCACTGGCAGAGCATGGGACACTGACATGTCAGTGGCTTAAGATGAGCACTTAAGCCAAGTGAGTGAGGTGTTGCTCAGCAACAACAAAACATCAGCATGTTATCAACATTATACTCATATTAAATCCAAAACTCAGCATTTTCCTAGGAGGAAAATCGACTCTATCTCAGCTAAACCCAGGAAATACAAGCAAGTTAGTATTTATCAGTACATTAAAGCAGAGAGAAGTTGATAAAAATATACTGTAAAACAGGTGTTTGTATACTTGCAGAGGTGGACATCTTGCCTTTTCTCAAAGAATTAGTGTTGTCTCATTACCTTGGAAGTAAATTTGGATAGATTTTAGGTGCACATGTAGAAAGGAGAAGTTCTAATACATGCTATAGCAGTAATTCAGAAGATGGAGCAGGCCCCCACATATCAATCATTAGACATATTAGTTATAGTAATTAATCATGGTTGTGTGTAGTGGTTTTGATTTGCTAATACAAACTAGAGCATTGCATCAAAAGTTCTTGACTGAACTTAAGATGGTCAGAACAATTTGCCTTCTGTATACACAGGCTTGTTCACACTTTAACTTAAGCATTTCAATGAAAGACTCAGTATTTCCTGACTCTTTTTATTTGAATAAAAATTCACTGTATAAATTACTAGGTATTAATATCTAAATGGTTTTGTAGATGACACCTTGAGGCTGGATCAACGCCTTCTTAAAACAATCCTGCAGAATCATATTATAAAAGTGAAAGTTGGGCTCAATGAACTGTACAATGGACAAGAGCTTGAAACAATTGGAGGAAAACTACTCAGAGTCTTCGTGTATCGCACAGTAAGTGAATGAGTCTTTCTAAAAATATGCATCCAGCTATGAAAATGGAGAGTCAATAAAAGTTAAAGCTAAATGAAACTCCCAACATTTACCATTATGACTATCCAGCAAAAAATCCTTAAACTTTTAAGATAGCAAAAAATGAAAATCTGATCTTTCTAATTCCAAGCTTTATTTGCATGGAGAACTCTGTGGGAAAACGTGACAGAATTTCAAATTGGGTGTTCATTTAATTACAAATTTTTAAAGTTCATTTTTAGAACTAATTAAGAACATTCTCAAAAGAAAACCACACACACAAAAAATCAAGTTTTAAAATATTTGCACCATGCAAATTCTAGATTTTGCTATTTCTGCTTTCTCAAGCAACACCAAATTTCCTGGCAAGAACACACAATTTGACTGTAGGACATATATATGTGTACATAACATTGTGTAAACAACTACACTTGTTTCTCTTTCAATAAGTCTGTATGCATTGAAAATTCATGCATGGTCAGAGGAAGCAAAGAAGGAAGAAATGGTTTTATTCACGTCTTCAGACAGATCATCAATCCAGCAGAAAAGACATTGCATGAAATGCTGAGGAATGATAAGCGTTTTAGGTGAGTAGTGATATTGACAGAACTGAGATTTTCCTGCAAAAGGTAATTATACACAGCACAGCAGCTCTGAGAAAAGGTTTTGGCCTGTGGGTATGTAAGTTTTTGGGGTTTGGAGAGCAGAGATGGCAGAGAAGGATTTATTGCCTACAGAAATAACATAAAAGGAAAAAAATGTGGGGGAAGAAAAAGTGTTCTCAGGCTGATGCTGAAAAAACTTCCACACTCAATGCTAGAATGGTTTTTTATGGCACAAAGATGTAAGATGCTAGAATGAGAGGAGTAAGAGGGCAGAAGGAATTGAATCCAGAGCTATAAATGTAGTGGACTCTGGAGTTTTAACTAATGAGTGGTACAATTCCATATGGGTGCAGCAGGACGGTATACCTTTCCAGTACTTATTTCTGTCCCTTTCAATATATCAGTATCTCAATACTCCTAGAGCAAGAACTATCCTTTGCATCCTCCTTTTATCTGTTTGATCTGCAAGGGTTTTTGTTTGATGAATCCTGCTCTGATTCAGGCTGCCAACATGTTTTTTACAAATACTTGTTCCTTTGTCTGCTACTTTTAAAACTGTCTTTTCCTATTTTTTTTCTCATTTTCCTCTTCTACTATCTTTATTTCTGGGAAACAGTGAAACTGTTTAAAAATGGAAACACTCTCAGAAATGGGGTACTGGACCCAATTATAGTTACCACATTTAAAAAATGTATTTGTGGTTTGTCTGTTTGTTGTAAACAGCACTTTCCTCAGTCTTGTGAAAGCTGCAGATTTGGATGATGTTCTGTCACGGCCTGGACAGTGGACTCTCTTTGTCCCAACTAATGATGCCTTTAAAGGTTTGACTGATGATGACAAGGACATACTGATAAGTAAGTAACATGAAAAAACGTGGAATTATAAGCAAAGTAAAATTGATTGGAAAGGAGACTAATGCACCTCTCACACAAAAGCTGTCTCCTGAAGCAGTTTACATTTTGCATAGAGTAGGTCAAAAGAATCCCCCAAATTATACCCTTCTTGGGCATAGAGAAAATATCTTTTTGGAAAAAAAACTCCAACTTGATTTTTAAATTTAAATTTCACTCTTCACTATCTTATTCCACAGTGCAGCTTCCTGCTATTATTTTTGTCTTCAATTCAGAACTTGAAGTTTTCCAAGATTAATGCCATATTGGACTAATTTGATAGTTAACAAGATAATTTTATTTGCCCTTCTGCTTTTCAAGGAGTTTTATGCACCATTTTTTTCTATCATTGTGAGTCAGTTACTTAATGCTTTCCTTGGCCCTCATAATTTTTTTACCGCAGAATTATTTTTTTTTGCGCCAGATTGCTTTCTAGAATTCTGTTTTGGTTTTCTTTTAAGTTATTATGTTGCGTTCTCCATAAAGATTAAACCTTAAAATGTATAAACTTCATTTATCTGTAAGAAAGATACAAACCAAGGATTATTTTAACCAGTAACTATAGTGGCATAGTCACAAAGGTAGTCTGATAGTTTGTGCAAAAATCTTTGGAGTGGCCATGTATAGGCTTTTTATGTAACCTAATGCTGTATGTGAACGGTCCAGTCACAAAATATCAGTACTAATTTTACTAGGAAGAAAAAGATAATTTAATTACAACTCAGTAGTGAAGTAAATTTCAGTAGTATCAGTGAACAGAACAAAATACAGGGGGAAAAAGGAAAATGTTCAGTGAGAGAGACATAAGGAAAATAGTATGACCAGACAGGATTCCCACTGCAGTTTCGTCAAGGCTGGAACTCCTAATAACAACTAATATCAGCATGTAATTCTAGTATTAAACTTAAAATGGTCAATATTCCATGTAATGGCAAATAGATGTGTTTTAAAGCTTCTCTGCTTGGCATCCTATCTCCTGGGGATGTTATGGTTTTTCTGCAGCCCTCCTATGACTCTCAACCTCCATTGACCCAGAGAGCCCTTTCAGGATATTAACTTGGGCTAGAGGATACATTTCTTTTTTAAGACAGTCTTAAAAATGTAGTCTTTTGTCCCACATAGTGAATGTTGAAATATGGAAATCATTCCTAAAAAAGGGTGGGTTCCCCCTTTCCCAGCTTCTGCAAATTGCTTCTGTCCTCTGTAAGAACAGACAAACCCGGCATTTCTAACTGCTCCATTGACCCCTTTTATGTTCTTTTGTAGAAGATTTCTCATAGGATCTTTGTGATTATGCTCTGAGTACCTTTTTGTCATAGAGTTGGGTTTTTTCTTTGTAATAATTTTAACAAATTCAAATTGTATGTGCTCGTGGTATTTTCATATATATTATGTTTCATTCTAGTTCAAGTCTATGTGAATCCTTAGAATTCCCACAAAGAACTATCCCCTGCCATTTGATTTTTTTTATTGCTACTTTTTTATTTTTACATAGGAGACAAAAATGCTCTCAGGAATATTCTTCTTTACCACTTGACACAAGGAGTTTTCATTGGAAGTGGCTTTGAGCCTGGTGTAACCAATATTCTTAAAACCATCCAAGGAGGCAAACTCTACTTGAAAACAGTTAAGTATAGAAAACGTCTCCCTGCTACAGCCTTGTAACAGATATATTCCATGTCTATCCACATTATAGAATGGCACACACTTTTCCAAATGTTATAATAAGGTTTGGGTTTGTTTTCTAATGTCCCTGATAACTTGGGTTCTCTTCTGATCCTTTGCCAGGTGAATGATACTCTTCTGGTTAATGAACTGAAATCAAGAGAATCTGACCTCATGGCAACAAACGGTGTCATTCATGTCATTGACAAACTCCTGTATCCAGCAGGTGAGTATTTAATGAAATTTGTATACCCACTCTTTTAAATCTGTTTACATGCTATGTAACTGCAATAACTCTAAAAAGTTAATTAATTTAAAGATACAATTCCTATGTGGAATTTTAAACAGAAAATTTACCTCAATGCTTATTTTGTGGAAGAACCTTGTTTGAAAACTTGGCAAGATTTTGAAATTTTGTGAAAGTAAAAGATATGAAAGACAAGACTAGCCAAATACTAGTTTTTCTGCTGACAGGGAATATTATATATCAAGTATGTGTTTATATGATTGATTGAGCATGATTGCATCAACTGATCACCATAAATCAAAGCAAAATGCACACATTTGTATATTTCCTCTTACATGCCTGCTTCTTTTGTCAGAACTGCCCGTTGGAAATGATCAGCTGCTCACAATATTGAAGAAGTTGATTAAATACATTCAAATTAAGGTATTCTTTCAGTAATTATCCCTCTGTCTTTCTGGCAGGATTTGTGAAACTGAGCACATTATAAGTAATAAGTGATTCTCTGGTCCTTTTTCTCCTTTTCTTTTATTTTCTTTTCTTTTCTATTTGCATTTGGATAACTTCAGTGTTATCCAAGTCTGCTCTTCAGTTCACTTTATCACTCTTGGAAAACAAATAACTTATTTGAAAAAAATACCGAGTGACTAAATTCTTATGCCATTAAACCCAGCAGTATCAATAACCTGTGAAGAAAAGTAGGCATCCTTGTCTATGTCAGCTAACCTCTTGAGATTACATTCTCCCTCAAAGATGAATGAGAGAAAACTAAACATCACCTAACTTTTAGGTCAATGAAGCAGTGAATCCTACCCACACTCATTAGGAAACCATAAGGCAAGTGCTACTTTTTACAAATTTTAAATAAATTGCTTTTCTGTTTTTATAGTTTGTTCGTGACAGTACCTTCAAAGAGATTCCACTGACATTTTACAGTAAGTTCATTTTAAATACTTCCAGATGTGTTGGATATTGCTTTTTAAGTGTTGCCAATTCCAATTTGGAATTGTACATCTCTTTTTCAATAAAGAAGAAAGCAATTTCTGGGAAAGTAAGATGTGCCAATGAAGAAAAGGAAGAGAAAGACTCAAAGTAGAATGTTTCTGGCTGCTGTGCTACCGTATTTTTCCCTTTCCAGATGTGTGACTGGAAAGTAACCCTGAAATAAGCTGCTTAAGCTCTTGGGGTAGACAAGATACATATGGAAAAGATTGTTTTTCAGTTTAGCCAAGGTTCAGTGCATAGTGCAGAACAGAGTTGTATCTCTCTCTAAGATGTAGCATTGTACTGTACTCACTCTCCAAGATGCAGCTTGACTGTGCACTGAGATACTTTCTTTATCATAAATATTTCCAGAGGGACAGAGTGTACCTCTTGTCCCTGTTTCCCATATGTGCAAATATGAGGCTTGAATGGGAGACAGTTGTTCAGAATACTTTTTCTTTAGGGAGTAAATGTAAAAAATACCCCTTTTAGTTCTCTTGCAGCCTTTCTCAGGGTTTGCATTTGATTTCTGGGTATGGAATATGTGTTGAAACAAGCTGTTAGAAGAAAAAGATCCTGCTGTAACTTTGTGAGGCAGTATGAATTTAGACAAATGATTAAATTCCGATGGAGTTCTACATATATTTCACAGTAGAAAGTAAAACCATCAGAGCAGACTTTTGAAAATTGGGAAAGGACATACTGAAGTTAAAAAACCCTTGGGACAAAAAACAGAGTAATTCACCTTGATGACAAGTTGAATATGAGTCAACAGTGCCCCAGCAGCCAAAATAACCACCTGTGTCCTGGGGTGCATCAGGCACAGCATCACCAGCCAGGCAAGGGAGGGGATTGTCCTGCTCTGCTCTGAGCTGGGGCAGCCTCACCTCCAGTCCTGTGTGCAGTTTTGGGTGCAAGCTTTGGGCCCAGTGTCCAGAGGAGGGTGACCAAGATGGTGAAAGGTATTGACATCAAGACTTATGAGGAGCTGATGAGGTCACTTGACTTGTTCATTTTGGATAAGAGAAGGCTGAGGGCTGAGCTCATTGCTGAGCAGTGATCCCACTGCCACCCATGCCTTCCCCAAGAAGAGCAGTGGAGGGGTGTGCTGGACTGCTTTACAGTGACCAAAGACAGGACACGAGGAAATTGAATGAAGCTGCTTTGGGAAAAGTTCAGATGGGACATTAGAAAAAGGTTCTTCACCCAGAGGGTGGTCAGTCACTGGAACAAGATCCTCAGGAAAGTGGTCACAGCAGCAAGGCCTGATAGAGTTCAAGGAGCTTCTGGATAACACCCTGGTCATATGGCTTAGTCTTAGGTAGTCCTTTGAGAAGAAGGAAGTTGGACTTGATGATCCCTATGCATCTCTTCCAACTTGAAATATTCTCTGATTCTACATCCCATGGCCAGAGAGAGCAGCCCAGGAAGCAATGCCTGTGAAAATTAGGCTAGAGAGGTGAATGTGGACATCTAGAAAGCTGTAGCTGTATATTTAGTTGATTGAAAGACAAGGAAGGCTGGAAGCTATATCAGTGTGGGCTCCTCCAGTGGATGGGTATGAGTCAAATCACTATCAGAGGTGTCCAATGAATACTTGAGTCTGTCCTGGGTGTAGAGGACAACTTGATCTCCCCACGACATACTTTTTGTGATGTTCCATCTATAGTTCTGAATGCCAGAAAGTTTCCTGTGTATGCCTGATCAGCTCCCTAATGAAAAGGGCAATACTCAGGTGTAAGACATGCCAGGGAACTGTGTAAAACTTCGTGTGGGTAATTGTACAAACCCTCTCTATTATGTACTATACATCATCATGGGTACCACGACCCATGGGCTTCATAAAGGCTCAAAGGCAAATACCAGCTCAGCAGATTCTGTCTAAAGGTGACCTGGGTGGATCACCATTTCATAACCAGAACCAAGATTCATACTCCAGATCCTTTTGAGTTGCTATTCCACCCATTAATATCTATGATTTTATCCACATCCTTATGAGCAGAACAAATCTAACTGATCACTGCCTCAAAGAAACTGTAAGAATGGAATGCACTGTATATTCCATTTTCTATATTTTCAGAAATTAACATAATTGAAAGCAACGTCCAGCCTATCATCACAAAGGAAGGTAAATGAGGCCCGTTTAATATATATTCTTGCATATGTTCATATACAAATTCAGAATATATATTGAATCTATTTCTTTAGCATGATGCATTTTATACCTAGCAACTCCAGGATGCTAAGCACTTTGCTGGAAAAGCAAAGATACAAATATTGCAATTAGAACTGACTGAAATATTTGGTATGAAAAGATTACCCACGGGCTTTTTTCTCCCCAAGTGAGTTTTTCCCTTTTTCTACGAGTATTTAAAAATGCCTTAATTAGTCTTTTTTCAAACCATTTATTTTAATCACCTTTTTTTTTCAATTAAGACATTTCCTTTTTTAAAAATTAAAATAGGTATTTTAAAGTAGATATGTTTCTTATACTTTGAAGAAAAAATGGGTTCATTTTTCTATGATTTTCAATCAGTTCTAACTACCAATATCTGTTGGATGCCTGAAAATTATATCTACCCAATCTTTGTCTTTTTTTTATTTCTCAATACAGAAGCATGACTTAAAGATTGGTGGTAGGGCTGATGAGAAAAAAATGTGTGGCTGGGACTGCTAAAATCACTTGTGATTTATAATTCAAGTAAAGCTGCTGAGATCAAGCTTCCCATTGAAATAAAAATACTGAAAAGAAATTTGTTTTATCTCAACTGAGAAAGGCACTTAAAAATGTCATGCAAAGAATTTTCTCCAGATTGCTTAATCAGTGTTTCTGGAAGGACTTCCTTCCAGAAGAAATGACAAATGCTTACTTTTTCAGGAGGTTGTCTGTGCTTCATCCTATTTAGGATTAGAGGCCATTTAACATACATGCTGATCTTTGTTGCCTAGTCTCCATCATTAAATCAGATCCACGGTGCAATATAAATGGATAGATTATTTCATGTGGTAATTCATCCAAGCTATTTTGGAAATTTCCCTATGGTGAGGGTGAATCATCCTCTGAAAGTATCTTTTCTGCTCTGTTAAACCCAGAGACAGAGTATATAGTTTAGGTGATTCACAGGATATTTAGAAGTTGAAAATTAACTGAAATGAACTTGTCTTTTAAGGAGAAAAATGAAATGTCTGAGCACTTGTATAGTCAAATGTAGAACTAAATTTTATTCATCAAATAGAGAAAAAAAAGTTGGTGAATATTGAAGGGCTACACCTTTCCATTTCCAGTACAGAATTTCTGCTTTGGGACACTCTCCAGTGAAGATCTCTGACTAGTGCAGCCTTTCTGCTGATAATTCAAGTTATTCAAATATAATAAATCAAACAAATTTTGATACTTCTGAGCCTTCTCAGTAACAGTAGTGAGTGGCAGATGCCATCAGAACCACGTAAATCCACAACAGTCTGTAGATATAAGCTGGCAAAGTTAAATGTTAATTTTTGTCAGGAAGTTCTACTAGATCATGACTCAAGGGCGATTTCCACTAAAAAAATTACATCTCTCCCCACCAAGTTTAGAGGGAGATGTGTGCCTTTTCCTGTCTCACTGTTTTCTGCTTGTGTTGTGCTTCCATTTTATATGCCTGGGCATGTATGGGATCTAAAAGATTAAATAGATATAACGAGTTAAATCTGACTGAAACCCAAATCTTAAGAGATAAAATATTCAAAGGATTGATCCTAGACTAGGCAAAAGAGCTGGCTATGCCTTCACTTTTTGGTTTGCACACATCTGCTGTATCAATCACACAAAAAGGCACAGTTATTGAGAAATGTAAAAATAAGGCATTTATAAACATTAATAAATACAACTTTTACATTATTTCATTTATATTCACTTGTACCAATGTAAATTGGTATTCAGTGGATTCTCAACATGCAAAAAATTCCTCTGAGTTTGAAACAGAAGCAAGGAAATGCGTTTCCTAAGACAGTTTCTTTAAAATATTTATAAATGTTTTTCATTAATTCATGCTGTTAAAAATAAAAGAAGTGATGGCTAGTTCCACTGTTTAGAACTCAGGGTGGATTAATAGAGGTCTATAATAAGAGGAAATCTTTATGATTCTATCATAGCATCTCATCTGCAGCAAATGAATTATTTACCTCTAAATTTTAATTTGTGCAATCGTTTGCTACTGAAAAAAAACAAAAAAATATTTTTGCATTTTATTATTGAAGGCAGCCTAAATTGACTTATCAACAATTAGCAGGAGGCACGCATCTTTAAAAGCTATTGTTAAATCCTGATCAGGATGGAAAATATATATATGGAAATATATATATGGAAAAATAATCAATGCACAATCAACTTCTACAAAAACTCATATAAAGATATTTAAGAGGTTTTAGGGAAAGTAAAAAGATGGATTATGCTACGTTTATGTCTCTGAACAAGGAATAAAGAAAGTTTACAGCAGCTTCTTAAGTAGAAGGAGTCCCACTGCACTCATTAGAGAAGAACCATATTATTACTGGCAATTGATGGTGTGTTCCTAATTTATCTGGTATCTCCTGCTTTAGCATGTCAGACAGAGATACATTTGGATCCGTGTAATCAAGATGACCTCACCCATGATAATGATAGCCAGTAGTGCTGATAAATATCCTTACAGCCATTCCAACTCATCTCAGAATTTTGCTTTTTGGTTTTGGTTTTTTTTTAAACCATGTAACCGCTGGCCAAGTGTTAAATACAATGGGGAAAAAAAAAAGCCATATAAAAAATATCAAAGCAAAAAATAAAAGAAACTCTGAAACAACAAATAAAAGAACCTCCAAAGCAACAAATAATAAAAATAATTTTTAAAAGGGAAGCTCTCACTATGTAGATTGCATGCTGATCAATGGTGGAGCAATAGCTGTAAGATATCAACAAAGATGCAGAGTATCCTTCTTACCAAGGTATATATATAGAAAAAGCCTTCTATTACACTGCTGAGGATCTGGTTTATTGCCTGGAACTTGCCAACAAGTATGAAAAATATCATATACACCAAAAAAAAAACCAAAAGTGTGTGATAGGACCTATATTTAAGATCTTGTGTGAGGGAACACAAGATTGTACAATGTTGCCACAAATAACCTCTCAGACTTAAACAGCCCTCTATTTCTCTGTTTTAATCACCTGGCTTATCTAGAGTAGAGGGAGAAAATGCAACTTTCATCTCACCCCCACGGAATACTATGAGTATTTTCTGACTATTTGTAAGGTGTTGTTTTCTTTCCTATGTCACAGACCCATCTATCACACAGCTCACTAAATTAATTGAAGGGGAACCTGAGTTCAAAATCGTCAGGGAAGGGGAGACAATAACTAAAGTGATTCATGGAGGTTGGTATGCTTTCAGCAACTCAATTTGTGTTAGCATTCACTCTTCCCCATCAGTTTATACTTTATCTAGGTGATCCACATTAGACAGCGGTTCTGTTTTTAGCAATGCCTTTGTAAAGTGCTGCAATTTTATTGCATCATATACTTTTTAATTCTCATGCATTTTTAAAAAATGGGGTTTTTTTCCCTAGTTGTGTTCCATAGCTGCAGTCAAGACAGTTTAGAAATACTCTGCATGCTGACATAACATGTCTCAGTCAAGAATTATTTGCTCATTGTTGTCCTGCAATCAAATATCTAGTCTGTGATTCTGTGATTAAAAGGCAATTTTGTCAGAAAAAGACATAAACCTTACCTTCTCTTTGCTAAGGGCATTGAGATGTTCACATCTAGGATGGTTTTCAAGGAAAAATCATGCAATCATCCTAGTTTTTCAGTAGATTTAGTTCCTGGCCTCTGAACATTTTTATTTTTCATGAAATATTCTATGGTATTTCCTTCTGCGCTTCAGTCAGTTTCCACATCTCAAAAAGAACACTTGAAAGTTCATCACTTGATTAATGCCTTGAATTTAAAAATCCTTGTAGAACCAATTATTAAAACATACACCAAAATCATTGATGGACGACCCGTGGAAGTGACAGAGAAAAAAGTAACAGAAGAAAGAATTATTCAAGGTAAATTAAGCTGAGATATTAATTCTTAGTAAAGTCCACCTTTGCATACAAAAGTAATGTATCTTAAGTTCTGTCCTAGTGCCTAAACTTCGTTTCCTTGACAGATGAATTTTCACTAAAATTCCCCGTCTCTGTAAGTCTGGCCATGTGTCCTACACACATGTACATACATGGCAATATTTTAACAGCATGCAAAACTATGAAAATTTGTCTTTTTTTTTTTTTTTTTTTTTTAGTTTTTATTTTCATATATTTGCTAAGTGTCTACTTTTGCAAGTTTCTCGCTACCATTTCACAATGAGTTTGCTTTTAGTGCATTTTTGTACTCTGTCTTGCTTTACAAGGAAACTTTTTTTATTCTGAACTTCTGGATTGTATATCTCTAGTAAGGTTTCATTTTACCAAATGTAGATGTTTAATGTGTAGATGCCTGCTTTTGCATGTCATCCCAGGCTCTCTTGACAGCCTTTTCAGAGAAAGATCTCTGTTTCTCTGTAAGGTGGGGACTTGATCTGACATCCAAGTTAGACACTTGGATACAGCATCTGCATCCCTTGATTTTCTCACACAAAAGCTCCCAAATTCCTTTGCCGATTTCAATTGTATTTGACCTATTACAGAGCTATTCTTTAAGCATCCTAAAAGTTGATAAGTGGAGTGAGGCATATTTAAGCATAATTTGTGATATATATGGAGTTCCCTATTGACACTTTTTGATCACCTTGTTTAAATATCAGTTTGAATGCTGCCATTAAAATTCTGTCTGCTAGAGAGCTCGGAAGGAAAAGACATTGTTACAGCAACATATTGACTTAGATGTAAGTCCTAATATTCAGTTTATTTAGAAAATATTGAAACTCGACTGAATTCATTTGAGAAAGACAAATAAAAAATCATGCTTAAGCTATATCATACAACTTTTTACTACAATGAAAATAACTGAATGAAAGGCATTAGTGGTTTTTGAATAAGACTGGGACTATTTTCTGGTGAAAATTTTAGGAGAGACACATAAAATATAATTTTCTGAATTATTGGATTCAAGTTTCACTAATATCCTACATGAAATGGTAAATATAATGCAAAATGACGGCATTTCAGACCTGTATCCTTATTTTCAACCCATAGAAACTGTAGATAAGGAAACTCAAATGTTAATTCTTCAAATTATTTGTAGCAATAATAAAAGCAAAAATATCCATTTGCAACCATCAGTTCAGACTATGAACTGAACTTCAGAAATATATGATCTATGACCTGATACAGCAGTGTTTAAAATAGTGTCTTACTTTAAGAATGTAAGAAGGTAATTCATTATGATAAATTTGCCTAATTACTTTCATGACTAGTTCTAACTACTGTTTTAAATGTTATTTCAGTTTAATTTTGGAAGTGGTAAAAAATAAATCATATAAGCAGATTAAGGCATGTTAGCCATGGAATCACCATATGAAATAAATAAGAAAAAAATATTTTAAGGACAAAACTATTATATCTGAAAAAAGCCACTATTTTATAATTTTTTTTCCAGGTCCTGAAATAAAATATACCAGAATTACTGCAGGGGCTGCAGACAATGAAGAGAAGTTAAAGAAAATCCTTGAAGAAGGTTAGTATGTTTGTTTTATTTAATTTCTTTAATAAATATATATCTCTAGATATAAATTAAGTAATTACTGAATGGATATTCCATGTTTAAAAAATTATGCTCATACTGCAAAATCTTACCCAGACATTAAACCTCAGAACTCCCTAAATGTAACATTCTGGTTTAGATCTTTGATCTTCATATTTCAGTCAGCTCTAGAGCTGAGGCTGCATGGGTCTAATATATAGCATGTTATATTTGTCATAAAATATGGTGTTTCCAGTGTTTATGTGGAATTTGATAACATGACATTAATTTTAAAATTTAATTTTTTAAATGCTATGACAGGATTATATATGCTTTTGTAGGATTGCCAAATATTTTCTGTACATCATTTTTTTTGCCATAACCTGTATTCTATCAGAGGTTACGAAAGTGACCAAATTTATTGAAGGTGATGGTCATTTACTGGAAGATGAAGAAATCAAAAGACTTCTGCAGGGAGGTAATTCAGTGTATTATAACTAACATTTTTGCAACAGGTTATGATAACTGAAACCCCTCTCGGATATTTTGAACTCAACATTTTAAAGACTGATGTAATAGAAGTGGAATTTTAATGAAAAAATAGAATACTGTATTCTAGTGCCAGATATCCGTGAAATGGAAATAAGCACCAAAGTTTGAGTAATCAATTTTTTAATGCCATTGATCATAGAAAAAAAAATTACTTGGTTTTTTTTCAGTCTTTAAAAGGTTACCTAATTAAAACTCAGGGGAGCAATGAAGATTTATTCAATTTTCTTTTAGCAAATTTAATTCTGTGAAAAACACTTATCAAATGGAATATTGTAACCAGCCAAATTCATCTTACTTATCAGTTCTTCAGAAATGAATGTTCATTGCCCTCAAGTTAATAATTAAAGGCATGTTTAACATCTTCTTTAAATGCTTACAGGTGATGGATATCCAGACATTAACTTTAATTCTCTTCAAATACAGCATTCCAAGGAATGATTTTCTTTACTTCTTGCTCTCTTAATTCTAACAGTTTTGGCAGTACATAACCAGTAGCTGTAGAAAACTAGTAAAAGAACTTCTGCTTTTGAAATGAATCTTTATCTATGAATTTGGAATGTTCTTTGCTTAATGTAGACTAGAAAAACTATCTATAATAGCAATGGGGAATAAAAAAAGAATTTAAGTGATATGGTTTTTGTAAATGTTATTTTAAACCTGAGCCAGAAGTTCAAAAATATGGATGGATGCTTCTCTTGAAATAAATTAATTGATTCCATTTGATTTTATGTTCACTTTTCAGTAAGTTACAAAGTTGTATACCAGTAAAATAACTTACAGCCACATTTAGTTTGCTGACTAAATCTCATAGTTTTTCAAAAACAGTATTGTGTGGATGTCACTTAAACTTCAGTCAGGTAAAAAATTTCCTGATGGTTCAACAGCTGAACAGCTGACCACCAAACTTACACATGCTAGTTGGTAACACAGCTAGTCTTAGAGAAAAGCCAAGATATGGATGTGATTCCTGTCCTGTAATTCTTAGTTTTGTTTCAAACATCTGAATCTTAGTTTTACAGCATCCACCTATAATATTGGACAGAAACCAAAACTTTCAGAGGATTTTTCATTTATCCTAAGTATCCCAGCTATGTGAAAAGATTTGCTCTCTGGAGATACCTATTTCTGAATTGGTTATTTAAAAGAAAAGCTGGAAATTTAAAAATTGCAGCAAGAAAATTCCTCTATATACTGAACTATGTTCTACTGGTTTAAACCAGTCAACAAGGAGCAAGATCAAACTTTATCCATAGAACTGTTCAAAAGTGATAGTTCTGATGCCAGAATCTAACAATTATAACTGTACTTGTAATCACCTTCAGATACAGAGGTATACGATTAAATAGGTGTAATCTGTAGAGATACACTTTAGAGCATATAGGTGTTTGGTAAAGAGGTCGTTTCTCTTTAGGAAATTTTAAGAAGACAATATCATCTCTTGAATTCTTGCTATTTTCCTTGCTATTATATGTTAGTTGGCATAAGCATCCTGCTTTACAGAATGGACCAAGTAGGCAGATTTGTTTTTTGCTTTAATTTGATTTTTCTCTATCTTTTCCATGATTTATCCAGTCAGCTACCCTTGGCTGCCATGATAATATCTTACTATACATTTAGCCAATAAAAGCAGATACACATGCTGCTTTAGCATTGTTGGTGATAATGGTGATAATGCTTTATGGCCCTCTTGTCTACATAAAATTATCTTTTACTGAAAATTTCCTTATCATTTAAATTTGAGTACAGTCACAAACAAATATATTATCACTGTCTAAATAAAGGAATTATTTCATATGGGCTTTAATTCTGCTCATAAAATATCCAGAACTGCTTAAAACAATTAGCAGTCTTTGCTGAAGCAAAGCTTTAAATTGCAGTGAATGCAGTGAACGACTCATCCCTAGAGTTCACGCCTTAGGGCATGAGTAGCATGGTAGCCTGCAACACCTACGCCCAAAAATTAACTTGTTTCCACTGAGGGCTCCTTGCATACAGAAAAATGCTATGCCACATTTAACTCATTTGTTTTTGATGCTTACCATAGCTGGAACTGAGTACACCAAGGTTACTAAAGTAATTGAGGGAGAGCCACAGATTATCGAGAGAGAAATCAAGAAAGTTCATCTGGAAGGTTAGTTTGTCAAAAATTCAGTATCACTAAGACCTGCTTTGTCCAAAGTGATCATTCCAGGTGAGGTTTTACAGTATCTATTCATTAAAATTATTAGGTTTGAAACCAGCATTTTAGCAAGAAGAATTTCATAATTGTTTTGGAAATGATTTCTTTCACTGATGTTGCAAAGAAATATGTTGAAGCTTATCTTGTGGCTAAAAGTAACTAAAAGATTTGGCAAGCATAGTAGACAAGAGGAAATGCCAAACCGCAAACTTAGGTAAAACATTTGAAGAAACATGCACCATAAAGAATTGACTTTTCTTTAAACAGCACATACAGAAGAAGACCACGTGAGTTGCTTTTAACTTGAGTTATTTCTTGTCAGTGTAAATGTGATCTGTTGCTGCCAGGGTTTCTCAGCGTTGTGAAGGAGTGGGTGGGGTGCAGGGAATATAACCTCTGGGGTTGTGTAAATATCTCACTGGGTCCTGGAATTTCTCTACCTTTGTCATGTTAAATGAGGAAAGCTCTTGATTTGAAAAACCAGAATGGAATAAAGGTCCAAAAGGAGCCAAATAGAATTCACTCTGCCTTTATGCTAGCAATTTGTTCTTCAAGTTTAACAACCATTGTTTAATGATCTTCATTCAAGGTTAAGAAGTAATTTGCTTAGGGTTTCTTTTGTATTTATGTCTTTTTCTAATTCTAATTCTAATAATGAAGAATAGGTTATTCTGTCAGCCTTTGAACTACATAGGAAAAAAATATTACGGCTTTTGGAGAATGAAATTAAATAAATGTGTTTCTGCCTTTTTAATTTTGAAGTCTGTGCCAAATAGTGAAGGTTTATACATCGTGTTTGTACAGCTTCAGTGCTGAATAGTACAAGGCATGCTGGGGAGACTCCTATTGCCTGAAAATGACACATGGGTGTGATCTTCAAACATGAGGCTTATCTGAAAGCATAATTGTACAGACAGTGCCTAGGTATGGAAAGCACACTTTGGATGGACCATAGCTTGGAATTTTCTGCCACGGTGATGCAGATGCCCAGTGTTTAGTCTCAGCTGGAATGAGATCAAGCCTGTATCTCAGGGCTATTCATTTATATACCCTGTACACCAGGATGAAAAGAGAACTGGCTGCAGCTTGTTAAGTGAATACACAAGTACTTCATGGTTGTAAAGAAGGAAAATTACTGCAGTAACTTTTCTGTGACAGTAACAGAAGAACTCTTTCTCATGCTTGCAACGTGTTTTTCCTCCCAATGAGGAGGCATCAGTTTAAAAAAAGTGTCAAGGTTTGATGAGAAAAAAGAAAACACATCCAGAGGTTCACTGAATAAGTGTTATTAAAAGGATGTATCTAATGGGGGTGGTACCTTTTCAATAGTCCTTGCTCTGCTTCACCTTTTAAAGCAGAAGCCTGACAAAATTAACCCTAAATGTGGAACAGTACTGTGGACTCACACTACAGTTACAAATTAAGCCCCAAACACAGCTGGAAATATGGCCAACATCTTGTAATGGCTTCAAGCATTTCACTTTTGAATAATTCATGAAGTAATTTCAATGCAACAGACCTGGACATCCACTGCCAAAAGCTGAGACTGAGTCCTGTGCCTTAACCTGAGCTGGTACTTCACTGACAGTGTCACAGGGTGTTTGATGAATGCAGAGCACAGACAAAATGCCCTGGCACCTGCCTGCATCGTATAACCATCTGTAGAAGATCAGTGCGGATAATGGATTAATTAATATATTTAAAATGAAAATATACCTTTTAAACATTACTAAGATTTAATGGATGACTGCTCATGAGAGAAATGTGGGAATTATAAGCATTCATATTTCAGGTGATCAAGCCAACATGCTTCTGGAACAAAATTCTTAATTTACTGAAAAATTTAAAGAAAAAACTTCAAAAAACAGCAATTAGTTTCCAATATCTCTAATGAATTTTAATTCAAAGGCTTGAGCAAATAACTTCTGACTGCAACATTTCTGTTTTCTAGAAGCACCTGCACGGAAAGCACAACCAGCCAAGAGGACACAAGGTAAAAAAAAAAGCCATACATTTAAACATCATAACACATATCAAATGTTATTCTCAATTATCTTAAGAGTCGGGGGCAGGGGGAAGAGCTCTTAAAAATAGAGATTTCAAAAGAAAAAGCTGTATTTCTGTTTTTAAAAAAACCTAACAAAATCTGAAATTATTTTTTTTGGATATCTGAAAACAGCGTAGATTATGTGCTTTATTGAATGAGTGTTTCAGATGAGAATAAAGCCATCTGAAGCCATAAAGTGAAGTCTGACTTTGGAGTCTTAACAATGGGAAAATGACACTCTGGGATTCTCCACTACAGGATTTATAGCTCTCAGAATCTATGAAATTTTGATTAATGAAGAAGCTGCTGAAAGATCAGTTTAATTTCACAGCTGTCAGCACAAGAGAGAAATATTCAGCACCAGGCTTCATCTTTCCTTTTCACATGTCTGCTTCACAAGTAAATACAGTATACACTGTTGCTATGATATATATAATTATAGGTAATAATTAAAGTTCTTTTTCCATATTTTGCAGGAGGAGCAGCAAGAAGGAGGACAAGACTAGATCGTTCTTAAAACCTGCCAAGACAGAATTCACAGAGCTACAAATTAACAACATGGTCTTTGAGAGGAACTGTTTGGATTTTTTAAAATGAGAGCATTAGAAAATGATGTTATTTTGATGACATAATGTAAACTGAACCATGAATCCACAAAAAGATGTGAAGCTGCAGATACTCACTGCCAGCACAGTGCTCACTGGGAGTAGTCTATTGGAGGTGCTTTTACTGCTCTTGATAGTAAGCACTATGCAGGGTGGGATCCTGGAAGCCCAAAAACTTCTGTAGAACCAGGATTCCTTCTTCTCATTAGTAAATGCTTGCAGGATTCGATTAAAAATGAGCAGGGAACAATACAGAGTGTATTTTTTTATTATTATTATTATTTCCACTAAATAAGAAATATAAGGGAAAAAGAAAAATAATCACCTCAGGTGACTTTTATAGTAATCTAAGGAAATATGAGATGTTAACATAGCACTTTTGGTTCAGTAGTACTGTCTGCTTTTTATAAGTCAAAATTCCTCATGTGTTTAAATTCGTAATACCAGTAACGTTACCTTTTCTAAGCAAACAAATATGCCTTATATTAAATCTATCATGGTTTTTTTGTCCTATATTACATATCCAAATACCTTCTAGTAACTTGGCTAATGGAAGCTCTTGAAAAAAGCAAAAAAGTAAATATTGTGAGCTTCTTGCAATATATTAGAAATCATGTTGACTTCTTTATTTATAAGAAATCACATTCCCGTTAAAGGAATCCTATAACAATACATATGCTGAGATTCTTAAGTGTTTTCCCATTTTTCCCTAATGTGTCTTTTGATTATTAAAGTGGATTATAAAAGCAATGAATAAAATGCATGCAAACAGTTAATTAAGCATGGGAAAAGGTCTTACAAAAATGAGGCCAGGTCTGAAAGCTTTTGTATCAAAACATGCTTTGCTAATGTCTGATACTAATGTGGAGTTTTCTGTAAATTATGTCCATTTTATAACTCTAATTTTGTACTCATAGAAGTTGTTCTGCCTTTATCAACAAAAGGTGAAAGACGATTTTTCATGGAGTAGAAAAAAACCTGTTCAAAGTTCCTTAATTTTGTAGACCAAAGTATCAGAGGCGTTGTCTAACAAGCTTTTCTACTTCTGTTTTGAAACAAATACTCAATAAAGAATTTGGATGAACTGTGCTTGTTTTCAATTGTAATTATTTTTAATAGCAAAGCAAATTCTAAATATTCTTAAGATTTTTAATCTAACTTGTAAATTGCAAAATATGCTTTCACAGAAGCAAACTGATGCTTCCCTTTTTACTTAGCACATGCTAATGGCTTAAACTGCATCACTCTCCTTAAACAATTAAAAACCTTCCTTAATTCCACAGTGACATACCCTAAACACCTCTCCTAGAACAGTACAACTATCTGGGAATGGGATTGATAAATTGTGCAGCCTTACTGGGCCATCAGACATGTCTCTAAGGTAACCTCGGCATCTACTATGACAGTGCTTTAATGGAAGGACAGCTTTTAACCCTGGCAAGGGTTCAAAGGGTTGAGGGATGACTTTTAGGTCAGCATCAGAGCTCTTAGGACTATCTAAAAGGTGAACTGAAGCTGTTACCTTTCCCTGGGACATTTGACTGTCATTAAGTCATTTGGTTTAAATTTCTTCCTTCACTGCTGTGCTACCATGAGCTATCAGTCAAGTAAGATTTTAAATGAAAGGATTATTTTAGGGGAAGAATGTGTCTGTGTTCTCTCCTTAAAAAAGATTAGGAGATAAGGAAGAAAATGGAATCGTAATGGCAGACAGAAAATGGGATGAAAGTAAAAGGTAGCAAAAAAATGGATTAAAATCTATCCTGTGGTAGGACGATTTTGCATTTTCAATTAGGAATAAATTTGTGGATTTGTGGCATATCGTAACTTTGGTATGTTTTCTGCTTTGAGAACATTTTAAAGCATCTGGTATTCACTAAAATACATTTCATACTTCACCCTTCAATATAGTTTATTAATATTATGTAATATATAATATAATAGCAATATGTAATACAAGTTAAATACAACAGTATATAAAGGGCATTTCTCCATGAAAACTTGGTTCCCTGATACATTGTCCCTCTCAGTCCTTAGACCACCACAGATGTCTGCCCAGCTAAAATGAACAGTGACATTTATTTTGGTGGAGTCGCTTTTTCTAGCTGTCTGAACAAGAATAGACCTCAACCCAATGTAGAAAGAAAATCAACATGTTATTTTATTTGCTTTTCATATGCTTAGCCATTTCTGTGTCACCACAGTCTTTTACCAAAGAGCAAATTTGGAGAACTTACAACTTCTCCTGCCCTCCTATTTGTTTCCCCTCAACTCAGAGCAATTTAAATTAATGTAATGTGATTAAATAGGGGGTTAGCATACTACCAAGTTAGAATTCTCATTTTCAATAGAGCACTCACTTTATTTTGTGTTTCCTTATAGTCTCTCAGGTATTTATAAACAGGAATGTCCAGTTGAGTTGGTGATGGAATTCTTAAAGGATTTCTTTTGCTCCCTTTGATATCCTGTAAACAAATGCAGAGGAATTTTGAACCTTCAGTATTGCCAAATCTTTCAGTTTTGACAACAGAAAGTGCACAAAAATAATCTACAAACCATGAAATATGAAAGAGGATCTAAGAAAAAGAAAACGAATAGTTTGATTCCTTTATAAAGACAATGGTGTGAAATCTGAAAAAAAAATGGCAGGAAGGATTTTTTTACCATTTCCATTCTGACAACTGAAAATGTGCTAAGCAAGGGATCATCTCTAATGTAAACCTAGAATGCCTTTTCATGTCGTTTATCTCTTAAAAGACATGGAATAACAAAATAAATTATAGAATTCCACTTTTTGTCCACAAAGTATTCTAATAAAATAGTAGATGCAGGCAGTAGTCCTTAGACATCAGTTGTGTTGTAATTAATTCTTTTACTGTCTAAAGCTCAGAACCGATAAACACCAATCTCAGATGGAGGGTCTGAGTAGGGATACCAAAGCCTAAGCACAGCTCACATGAAAAAAGAACTGATTCCTTTGAGAAATGAGTTTCAGAATTCACAGTGATATCATGAGATGTGTAATAGGATCATTCAGGATTTTCTAAGATTTATAGCAGCACAGGGCTTCATGTTCTATTATTAAAGGAAGATTTGCCTCCACTTTTCTTCTGAATAAACCCCAAGTGTGAAGGTTTCAAAGGGTCACTGTCTCCTTTGTGTCCCCTTCCTCCAAATGTATGGCTTTTATAGCATCCCAGGAAAATGAAAACCTCTCAGTATGGCCAAGAGTTGTTTTTCAGTATAGCATTGATCTTTTTTTAATACATGGAAAAAATTATCTAAGTGTATTATTTTTTTTAACCAAGACTAATTAAAACATTCAGTGATAGACAGGATTTGTGCTTCGCAGCTGAGACAAAAGATGAAAATTAGCTACAGATTCTATATGGGGAAAATAATTCTATGTGGTATAAGTAATTAGGATCAGAATGACAATATCTCATTAGCAGCCCAGCATGTTATTGACTGAAAAGTAGAAGCAGTTTCTATTCAGGGGACTTTTCAGTCTCCTTTACAGCCATACTAATTTATTCCTAATGTCATATTAGATTAAAATTCTTCCTTTCTTGCTGTTTTAACTAGCTTATTTTAAATACCACAGACATCAAGCTTTCTTTTATGGACTTCTTCCCTGCTAAATAAACGTAACCTCTATGACAGAATTTGCAAGTCAGAGGAATGGCATCAGCACTTAAACTTTGGATCATAATATTTGTCAGTCCTCAGGTGTTGCATTCTTGCTTCACTTTCTGATCTGATGCATCTCCTGTCTGCTCTGATTTCTTGACTTTTGATTTTATCTTTCATCTATACTACTAAGAAAAAACATACCTAGAGATTTTCTTTGGGAATTTAGATCCAGTGGCACATACAGTCTTCATCCACACTACCATCACTTTGTCCTCAGCTTCTTTTACCACCTAGTGCCCAATGCAAGTGCAGCCCTTGCACTTTAACTTGTTAAACCTCATGAGGTTCTCATGGGTCCAGTTCTTAAGTTTGTCCAGGTTGCCTTGGAGGGCATCCCATCCTTCTGTTGTGTCACCTGAACTGCACAGCTTTGTGTCATCTGAGAACTTTGTGATGGATATACCACCAAGAAATAGAACATGCTGCTGGTCATGGTGAGTTGGATGTTTAAGATAGGTAGGAGCTCTGCTTTCTGCATGCCTGCTTTATATTCATTCATTTCGGAATAACTCCTGCTGATACATTTTAGAGCTGTTTTAATCATGTCTGGGATGGATCACAGGCACTTACACATCTAGTTGCTAGTCCAATTGTATTTTAATGCTTTTCTGTGTGAAATACTTAACAGTTTTTTCCAATAGCCATATTTCTCACATGGAACAGCTGTATTTCTCACCAGTGGAACATATGGCCTGAGTCAGGAACACATTGAAGCCATGTGATGTGACTAATGCTAAACAGAATTAAAACAACACGTTTGTTAATTGAGAAAAAACACATCACCACGAGAAGTACTGGAAGGGAAGAGACAGGGATGTTTTCAGGGGCATAGTCAGGAGTGATCTGGGGTTTGATTTCCAGAAGTTTACCACAGTCTCTTCAGTTTGCTGACTGTAGAGAAAATTACCTATTGAGCTTGTCAGTGTCCCTGCAATCCCTCAAAGCTCAGGTACTGTCACTCTGTCACCACAGTCCGTAGTAAATCCAGATCCCACATCCATCTGTCTACAGACATCTAGGTCCATTTGTATGGAGGACCTAGTAGGACTTTTTGCTGTCTTCTATGAAGACCACAATTACAAAGTGCCTGTATGGCAGTCAAAGATAGAGATGGAGTGGTGAGGAGACTGCTGAGCCCTCTTGTTCCATCTCTAGAAAAAAAGCAGTTGAGACATAACTGGGAAAGCCTGTTCTTTCCAGGGAAAGCAGAAGGATAACTCATTTCTGGATCCCAGCTGGTCTGAGACAGGAAATACAGTAAATACAATTTTTAAAGAGGAGTGCTGGCAGAGAACTTTTTTTAAAAAAGAAGTATATTGTTGTAGTTTTGAGTTTTTTATTTTTAATTTTCATATGAAATGGGATATGGATGAGGTTGTCTTTGGAAAGGCTTATCCCATAAGAGCCCTGAAATATTGTATGTAGCCCCTGCAAGACCCTCACCTCCTGTACAAGCCTGCAGAAGCCCCAGGAGCATTGCCAAGATAATGGATCTTCGTGTGTGTAAAAAAACCCCAACTCTTTTGGACCAATACCTGAATGTGCACTCTCCTCCACCTCCAGTCCTCAGAAAGGGTTCTAAAAACATGAGCCAGGGACATGTCATGCCACAATCCAAACAGAAGCAAGTCTGGAACAAAACAGTTGCATATCAAATGTGTATTTGTTATTCCTCCAGCTAGAGATGAGAGACATTACAGATGGAAAAGTGTTGTTAGATCATGTTATCAGTCTACTTGCCAAGTCTGGATTGTTTCCCACTATTATAGTCCATAATGCTTTACCCAGATGAGTGGTGCCTTCCATCAGTCATTCCCTCATACTCTCTTCAGAGCCGCTTTCCTATATTTTGTTCCCCTTTCTGGCTTGCCTGCCATCAAATAAGGCAGACTTATTCCACCAAGTAGTCCTTCACCAGAAATTACAACTGCTTTAGCTATACCAAGGATGAACATCCCTGTTAATGTGACAATAATCCACTCACTCATATTTTCCTGAAACATCTGTACAACTTAAAAACTATTTTGGTTTTGGACAAAGTACTGACTTTTACTTAGTTTGTGTATGGCCTCATAGGTCTCAGACTTTTTTTGCTATCATATGATGCCATATAAGTTCAGGATGTGTGGTTCATGAAATCACAGAACCACATGTTTGAGGTTGGAAGGAACCTCTGGAGGTCATCTGGTCCAAACCTACTGCTCCAGTAAGGACAACTAGAGCTCGAAAAATTATTTAGAGACTCAGTTGCATTTGTGAATGATTTCTTATGGACTGGAAATGTCCTTGTGTATTTCCCTCCTTGTCCCAAAATCAAATTATTTTTTCAACACCATGCAATAAAGAACTATTTTGTGTAATTGTTGACCCTCTTCATGAATCAAGTAAAGTTATGT